CCCCTGGTTACAGTGCCTGCCTAAGAGCTTGGAGATGATTGGCTTCACACCACAGGGCCATGCCTGCCCAGACTTACTATGGCAGCCCAGAAAAGCTGGAAAAAATATGGGAATGCTGGCAGGTGTAGCTGATTGTGGGAGGAGTCGGAAATAGGGCTGCAAAGGAAGAATGGCACTGGGATTTAAACCCAGGTGTGGCAGCCATGACAAGCTGACTGGAAGAACCACACGGCTTTGGGTCTCCCTTTGCCACACAGCTTAGGAAGCTGGAAAGCAAGATGTCACAGTGATGCAGAACTCCCTCTTAGCAGCTTGGAAGAATGCAGGAGTGATGCTGTGGGAAGGTAAGGAGTGAAAGGACTCTTGCTGGTGGGCCATGAGAAGATTTTGGATTCAGAACTGGAGACCTCAGTGACACAGCTGATGGTGCTGGGAAACAAGGGAGGCCTGCCAGCCGAGCACGGATTACTAGGAAGAACCGGGGGCCACCTCTATTTCTTTTCCTGAGATATGGTACCCTGGACCAGGCAAAGGGGGGAAGGAAGGACTATGTGTGTTTGTGGATGTTTTGACAGACTTTGGGATTTTAATGAAGACATTAAGTAATGACTCTTAAGTCATTAAGTATACAGACTCTTAAGTCTGTATAACTTTTGAATGAATAATTCATTTCCTTTTCACCAATCTCTGAGAGCTATAATTTACTGGCAGAGGGCAAGGCGAACCTAGTACAGGGGGACCCCAGGTGAAGGGTGGGTCCATTTGGTATCATTGTGTGACCTCTTCTCTGGTGCCCAATCAGGAAAATCATGGGAGACCACATGCGCAGTAGTTTTAAAGTAATACAACTACTTGTACACATGAAATAAAAGCCCACCAAAACTATCCAGGAAGGATCTGACCTATAAAAATAGAATCCCTCCAGCCCAGGAGGTCAATCTCTGCTTGGAGTTGGCCTGCTCCCATGTTCTCTGCTATAAACTCTGTGTGTTCAGTTCAATTCTTTGTCCCAATCACCAAGAACTTGGTTACCTATGAGCAAATATTACACAACCAGAAGAGGAGCGTGTACTCATCCCACACAAAGGGTGTGTGTTTAGTACCCAGCTTGGGTGATAGGGGAGGCTGTGCCACTGGACCCTGCAAGATACCTACTACATTAGGTCATGCTACTACGCCAAGGAGTCATAGCAGCTCTACCTAATACATAGAAATAAACACAGGGAGGCTGCCAAAATGAGGAGACAAAGAATCATAGCCCAAATGAAAGAATAGGTCCAAACTCCAGAAAAAGAACTAAACAAAATGGTGATAAGCAATCTATCACATGCAGAGTTCAAAATACTGGTTATGAGGATGCTTAAGAAACTTAGTGAGGACCTCAACAGCATGAAAGGATCCAGTCAGAAACAAAGGATACATTAATTGAATTAAAGAAAAATTTACAGGGAAACAACAGTAGTGTGGATGAAGTTGAGAACCAAATCAATGATCTGGAACATAAGGAAGCAAAAAACAACCAATTAGAACAGCAAGAAGAAAAAAGAATCCAAAAATAAATGAGGAAGTATAAGCCAGGGGTGTCCAATCTTTTGGAATCTCTGCTCCTCACTGGAAGAAGAGTTGTCTTGGGCAATGTAATTGAACACATTGCAACATGTAATCACAAAAAAACCTCACAATGTTTTAAGTAAATTTACAATTCTGTGTTGGGCCAAATTTACAGCCATCCTGGGCTGCATGCCACCTACTGGTCACACATTGGACACCCCTGGTGCAAGCAGCCCCTGGGATACCTTCAAGAGGTCCAACATTTGTTATCATAGGGGTGCCAAAAGGAGATGAGAAAGGGGAAGAAATTGGGAACCTGTTTGAAAAAAATTATGAAAGAAAACTTCCCTAATTTGGTGAATTAGGGAAGGAAATAGACATGCAAGTCCAGGAAGCACAGAGGGTCCCAAACAAGATGGATGCAGAGAGGCCCACTCCAAGACACATCATAATTAAAATGCCAAAGGTTAAAGATAAAGAGAGAATCTTAAAAGTAGCAAGAGAAAAGAAGCTAGTTACAGGGGAGTTTCTATAAGATTGTCAGCTGATATCTCAAAAGAAACTTTGCAGGCTAGAAGGGATTGGCAAGAAATATTTGAAGTCATGAAAAACAGGAACCTACAGCTAAGGTTGCTCTACCCAGTAAAGCTATCATTTAGAATTGAAGGGCCAATGAAGAGCTTCCCAGACAACAAAAAACTAAGGAGTTCATCATCACCAAACCATTGTTTTATGAAATATTAAAGGTACTTAAAGAGAAGATCAAAACTATGAATAATAAAATGTCAATAAATACATACCTATCAGCAATTGAATCTAAAAAACAAACTAAGCAAACAAGAAAAACAGACCCAGAATCATGGATACAGAAAGCTTTTTGATGCTTACCAGATGGGAGGTGGGTATGGGGGAATGGGCAAAGAGGTGAGGGGATTAAGAAGTACAAACAGGTAGTTACAGAATATCCATGGGGATGTAAAGTACAGTAGTAAATGGAGTAGCCAAAGAACTTATATGCATGACCCATGGACATGAACAATGGTGTGGGGATTGCCTAAGGGAGAGGGGAGTGCTGGGAGGTGGGAGGACCAAGGGGGGGAGGAATTGGGACAAATGTAATAGCATATTCAATAAAATATAATGAAGAAAAAGAGAGAGAATGGCTTAAAATCTCCAGGGTCACCTGGACTGCCCGGACTCCAACACTAATGAGGTAGGAGGTGGTCACAGGAAGTGCCCACCTTTACACAGCTGAGGTAGAACAGCTGGAAAAATGTATAACTTAATGAAGTGATAAAGGAAGTGGGTGGCAAGGCTTCAAATGGCCCCACTGCCCTCTGCTCCTGGCCGAGAACCATTCTCCCAGGTGTGTTTACCCTCTGCTGTCCTCCCCTTTCCTCTGGCTGTTGGGATCAGCCTCCCAGTGGCCTTCCCTGTAGGAGACCATCCTGTGTGGCATGGGCTCAGCTCCCACTCGAAGATGCACAGGACCCATGCCCACGGATAGGTTCTCCCGTGAGGAATCGGGCCTGCAATGTACCTAGGCCGCTTTGAGACTTGCTTTTGCTAAAACTCCCTCACCCTGAATTGAGGCAGCAAATATTTACTGCAAAGTAACTTCCTAAAATCCATGCTAAACCTTCCAAGGACGAGTGTACCTGGTTCAACCACATTTCCCTTTGTCTTTGCAAATATCCTTCTTCTGTGGTGTGATTAGCAGCATCGTCTCCATTGTTTTCTGTAAGAGGTAACCACCTAAAGCGAACTTGTGTATAGTAAATGAGGACCATCATGTAATGTGCCCCAAAAAGAAAAAGAGGCCTGTCATGGCAGAGGCTGCGGCTTTTGCTCCCCCTGAGAGAAAAGCCATGCTTGCCCTTTTCCTCCACAGAACTCAGTAGTCCATGTGAATGTCTTGTGTCTCATCCACAATGCGGCGGACCCCATGACCCGGGGTCCATATCACTTCCCCTCTACCTCCACCATGGTCTCTGGATCCTGGGCCTGTAAGGTTAGTTGTGGCAGCAATGAAGGTGGTTGCAGGCTCAGCCCTTCTTTGGGATCCCTGCCCTTTTCTTAGGGTCCTCCTTCTCCTAGGCCAAGTACTAACTTCCCAGGAAGGTTTCTGGGCCTCTGCACCCTGGAGACTCAAACCTGATGTTGTGGAGTCAGTCCACAGCTGGGGCTAAAGGGCAACGTCCCTTCATTATGTCCAAGTCTGTCCTCCCCAAGGTTCCAGGAGCAGGGAACAAGTGGGTGACACCGGGCATTCCCACTCAGGGAGGAGACTCCCACTCCAACGCAGGGCCCAGAACAGGGCTGACCCACCCAGACAGATGCTGCTGTCCTGCATGAGGTGCACATGTTCCAATCCCTGGAGCTGCTGGTGCAGGGAGAGGAGAACCAAGCTCTGGAACCCACCTCACATGCAGACCCAGCCACAGGGGTGACCACACCATGATCAAGTACTGTGGTAGCCAAACCCTCGACCTCGGTGCTCAATGCACCTCGGAGACCCAGAGAAAGACAAGACTCCGGGAGGGCCTTGTAGGGACACAGACCACTCTGTCCCCAGGTCTAGGCCTCCATGGTCCCTGCAGGAGGCAGACAGAGGGTCACTCCCAATGCAGTCACGGGCTCAGTGCAGACTGGAGCAGGCCTGTGTGCTGAGTGTAGCCAAACCCCAAAGAACAAACATTGCCTTGGCCCCCTCCAGCCAAGCCCTGTCCAGCGCCAGTGCAGCATCCAGGAGTGGCCTATCTCAACAGTAACCTGCTTGGGGGTTTTACCCGGTTCCTTTCCAGGGCTGGGAACTGGGAGCAGTTTTCATCCTGGGCCCATAGTCCAGTTTGGGCCTGTGCAACAGAAGTCACTGAAAATATGTTAAAAAGAAAAGCCTGAGACCTACCCTGAATCTGCCAGCTAAGGATTTCCAGGAGGCAGGCGGCTTCTTGGGAACCATGGTTGGCACAGGAGTTTTTAGTCTCTTCATTGCTTTGGAACCAAAAAGGTGAGGGAATGGGCAAATGAGGACAGGTCTTTATCTCACTGATGGCTCAACATAACTAGATAGATGTGGAACTGTTTCATATGAACTTGAGGGGCACTGCCTGTCCCTGATAATTTTTCTTTCAGCATTGGCCAGTTAGTGTCTGAAATTTCCCGCTTTTATTGAGGAATCAGAAAGACAGATCTTGATCCAGAGGCTCATCTTACCCAGGAGAGTTCATCAATAGCTTAACAGAGATGTCACCTCCCCCACTCAGAGTGCTCTGGTGTGCCACTGGATGCCAAGTGCTGTTAAGGGGGCTTTAGTCCCCAGTAGCCTGATGTTTACACATCACCCCCAACATTTCCTTTTGCTGCTTCTTTGTAGCCAAACACTTGTCCCATGAAGAACATGAATGGGTCTTAAAGGCTTTCTGCTGGGTGAAAAGTCACTCCCCGCCTGGCTTGGGCAGCACATATACCAAAATTATAAAGATGCAGGGAACATTAGCATGGCCTTTGCCAAGGATAACATGCAAATTCATGAAGTGTTCTATATTTTTAAACAAACCCAGATCTTTTGTTATTAAAAAGATTTTGGATGCTGAAAGAAAAAGTCACTCTCTAAAGGTTACATACTGTATAATACTGTTTATATAACATTCTGGAAAAAAATGAAGTGTTGAAGAGAGAAGTGGTCACAAGGAGTCATGACAATGCCTTGCTTATGATAGGCAATTTAGGTTTTTACGAGTGTTAAGGGTAGACTTATTCGTGAAGTAGGATTTTACCATATTTTTTTGTGTGATCAGCAGTCTTCCCTGAAGCTCTAGCAACTCATTGGCTCTTATCTTTAGCTACTCATAAGATCACCTGTAGATCTTTTCAAACGCTCGCTCCTCACAGTGGGCCCGGGCCCCAAGCACCAGTGTATTACGTCCACAGCTCTTCAGGTGATTCCTGTGCAGCAGAGGTTAAGAATCCCTGCGATGTCTCTAACCAGGGCCCCTCCGGGCTGGTGTGCGCTCGAGCTGTTCATCAGTCGGGTGGCTCCCCTGTTAAATACACACATGTCCTCGGCTCTTTTCTGGTGCAAAAATGTTCGTATACCCTACCTCAGGCCCAGCCCATCCTCAGAACAAAGTTCTGCGTCTCACTGGACCAAATTTCAGAACCAAGTTAGACAAACTAAAGCAGAAACAAATCCCTTTCGAGTGCCAAAAGACTCGATATCGTTCTCAGTCTTCCCCGGGCGAAAACCAGAAGTAGGAATGGCCCCAAAGATGGGAAAGACACATTTCCCACCGGAGGACATAAAGAATGTGACATCATACGTGGCCAGTACTTCTAGGGTTACCATAAGCCTAGACATCCACACCAGTTCCCTCTCCCTACAGCCACTACATCGTGGCACTTCCCACTAGCACCAGCAACCGCAAGTTCTCACAAGCGTGGACCAGCTGAGAGTTTCATACGTCATATTTAAGAGCACAGGCCGCTTAGACTTCTGGGAAATACAGTCCGTGCGCAGGCCAAACATTGATTGGGCACGCAGGCGTCAGAGCCCTTTGCGCAGGCGCACTGCTTTCCCAACCTGAAGAGGCGCTGTCTTCCTGGTTTCTGAGCACTGTGTATCCAAGGTGAGAGCTGCAGATTTGTGTCTTCGAGATGCAGAGTGAGCGCAGCTGTCGTGAGAAGGGGAAAGGGGACGCTGAGAATCTAGGGGGAGGTGTTACGGGAGTAGAGCAAGGTAACTTGGCAGAACCTTCCGGGTGTGTGTGCGCACCTGCCCAGGAGCGCTTGCAGGCTTGGCGGTGACCCGGCTCTGAGTGTTGCAGACACAAAGTTGTCTCTCCCCGACCTCCAGTGTGCGGGTAGAACTGAGGGACACGACCGAACGTGTGTGTGTGTCCGTCCGGTGCCAGTGGGTGCGGGCAACAGCCACTGTACACTATCTGTCGTATTCCAGCTTTCAGGTTGAAAGTTTGGAGCCTTACTCCTGTCAACGAAAACTTAAGGAGACCGACCTTTCTGAGAGACAAAAGACAGTTTTGTTCAAAATGGTTTGCAGACCAGGGAGACTCAGCCTCCAGGATGAACCCTGGGGAAGGTGGGGCGACGTTTTTAAAGGCAACACAAAAAGCTGACCGTTAATGGGATTGGTTGCACAGAGAAGCAAAGCCAAGCGTATACAATATACATTTTCTGATTGGTTAAAGCAGCCAGGCTTTCTAGTTTGTTAATTCGTGGTCAGCAGGTAGAGTTAGGAGATGTGGCCAACGGTTGGAGTCATAAGACGTGGGCAGCAGGGGTATCACAAGACTGAAACCATTGTCTCAGTTTCCCTTGGAGCTTGTAAAACAAACTTGTAAAACAGGTATTGATCGAACAGACAATATAGGGAATGCAATTTGTCAGGTGGACAGTGTTAGAGTTCAAACTGCAGAGTTGCCTAGTCTCTCAAGCAGAACCAGAGACCAAATTGCAAAAATGGCCAGATATTGGGCCACAAAGTTATGTTAAAATACTCCTCTCCTCCCGCCCCTTCTTCCTTCTGTGGGTGTTCTCTAAATGTAGGTGAAACTGATACTACATCTAGCGTGCTGCCCACTCCAGTCCCTCTGTCTTTCCCAGAAACCTCCTCAGATTATTTAGCTCCCTACCTTGGGCCTCCACACATGTAGTCATGGGTGGGATGGGTGTTTATAGGGGTGGTTGCACAGAGGATCAGGACAAGACACACAGGCAAGGTGGATTGTATGGGTCTGATCTAGGGACTGATAGTAATAACACTTTTAGGGGACAGTTGCTACAGAGGTCATATCCAAGACTAGAGAAAGGAAAGGACTAGTGGCAGGGAGCCAGTTAGGAATGGTTGGTAATGGTAGTCATCCTGAAGCAAGCTGCTATGGACTTCAGTTATGATGGTGTCAGTGGTAGGGAAGGTTACAAATGACATTGCAAAAGAAAAGTACAAAGGAACTGGTGACTGACTAGATTTGGGACGAAAGAGAGTGAGGTAAGAGTGAATTTGGGGCACCTGGGAGAATACTAGAACATCTGATAGAAATGTAAAAATGGAGAGAAATTGATGTGGGGAGTTGAAGATGGGAAGATGGTTTTGAGGTGCTCGGAGAATGTTTAATTCAAAATTGTAGTCATTTGGAAATGCAAGGTGAGTTTGGAAGAGGCATTGAGACTAGACTGGGAACTATCTCTGTAGAAGTAGAAAATGGAGTGCTAGGTGTGAATGGACTTTCTGAGGGACAGCAAGAAGAACATTGTACAAAGACTGAGCCTTGGGCAGCATCCATGTTCCCAGAGCAACATTGGGAAAGAGTCACAGAGAGCTGCACTGTTAGTGGAAGGAAGAAATTTAGGCTAATGCTGTATCAGAACAGTTACAGCAACCTGAAGTAGCAGAAACTTGACAAAACAGTCAAAAGCTGCAGAGAAATAAAGATAAGGCGAAAAGGATTATTGCAATTAGAGCTCAGAAAGGCATTGTTAATTTTCAAGCATGCAGATTCAGGTGTGTGAAAGGTGGCAAGAGTGGAATAATGATTCAAGAATAGGTGGTGATGATGTGGGGTGGATGGGTATATATTAGTCATCTAAAAAGTTTGGTCATGAAAGGAAAACCTAAATGAGAACTGTTTTTGCTAGAGGGAGGCCATGGGATTCAGTGAAGGTAGTTTCAGATAGAGGAGGATTGTATCTGTTTGAACATATGAGAAGAAGGTACAGGAGAGATGGGAGATGCTGGAGAAAGAAAAACTGAGTAATGCAGGGAGCTGATTCTGAACAGGTACAATAGTGAAAAAGAAAGTAAGACACAGTTGTGGGACACTAAGGTAGAGTCCTTAGTGTCACAGACACAGACTTTTCTGTTTTGTTGACCCCACTCCCCTGGTACCTAGAGCATAATTTTCATTGAGTGGAAGAATGAATGGGTTTGTGTTGGGCAGTAGAAAGGAAAGGAGCTTTCATTTATTGAACAGGCTGTTAGATAAATGCTTTATATTAATTGTCTCACTATTTACAACTACTCCATGAAGTAGACATTACACAACTCGGGGTCACCTGTTAGCATAAGTAATCTGTTAATGCCAGGTCTATAGACTGCTTTCTACCTCATGGTCCTGCCTCCCTTGAAACTCTTGTGAAGCTCAGTATAGTAAAGGACATTGGTTTGCTAAAATTGAGTGGTAGCCATGGAGGTTTGGAATAACTACAGAGCTAGGAGAGGAACAGTAAAAGCTTTTAGGCAAGGGCTCATTTGAAGATATAGAACAAGGATTTGAAGAATATTTTCTCCAGAAGCACTGTGAGATCCAGGAATGGCACTGTGTTAAGTATTCCTTATAAGGATAGTTTAATTCCATCCTCATAAAGTCAGTAACCTAGGTACTGTTACAGTTTAGTAAATTTAGGCTTTGTGAGAGGCTTAGGTAGAATTTGAACCAGGTCTGTTTTCTTTTTCTTAAGGTTGTATTTATTTTTAGAGGGAGAAGAAGGGAGGGAAAAATTAAGGGAGAGGAACATCGATGTGGGAGAGAAACATTAATTGGTTGCCTGTTGTGTGTGCCCCAACCAGGGACTAAACCCACAACCCAGGCATGTGCCCTGACCAGGAACAAACTAGCAATCTTTTGATTTGTGGGACAACACCCAACCGAGCCACACTGGTCAGTGCTGTCTAGCACTTTTTAACCTCTGTGCTGTAATGACTTATTTTCATGAAAAGATAGCACAGTGCCTGGTCAGTAGCAAATGCAAATGCTCAAAATATGCTAGTTATTAATATGATGTTTAATGCTGTTCCATTGTATTGATGGACTGGATCATAAATTAATCAAATCTTCTGTTTCGAAATTTAGGATATTTCAAATTTTGTCTGTATTATTGTAAGGATTAAATGAGGTAATACACATAAAGTTCTTAGAAGGTTTCCACACATAGCATTCAATAAAGGTTAGTGTTAATGATTTAAGAAAAAGCTTTGCATATATTCTTACTTATTTCCTTAGGATAAACTAGGGGAGAATGGCTGGGTCAAAGAATATGCATAATTCAAGGCCCTTGATACAAATTGCAGTGATCTTTTTAAGATCTGATAATGACACATGCATAAATTCTTTGGTGATCCCCATTGCTACGTGTGGAAAAGGGAGGATACAAAGCTCTCCTGGATCTAGCCAGCTTCTGCTTACTTCTCCAACCTCATCCTTTCCCACAGCTCTGCTCGCAGCCTAGACATCTGCCATTCTAAAGTAGTTACAGTTGTTAGTCCTTTCCACATAGATACCTGCCTCCTCGTTTTCAAAAGCTAGGTGTTTTTTCCTGCCTAGAATCTCCTCCCCCAAGTCACAACTTATTTTAGAGCCCATTTCTGCCCAGAAACCTGCCCTGTTCCTCCCTCCCTCCCTGCCATCTGGGCTAGGCAAGCCTCTGATGTCTGTCAGAGTTTGCTGTGTGTATCTCTTTACAGTACTTATCCATCCTACAGTGAAATTTATTTTGGTTACTTGCTTGTCCAATATGCTAGGCTACATATAAACTTTTACAAGACAAGGAAAATACACAGTTTGAGGGCTTGGTATCAATAGTTGGTGCTGAATACATGTTGGTTGGATAAATGGATGAATGAAAAAACAAAGATCAGTGAACATACTCCCTTGAAAGCAAGAGAGTAGTCAGTAAGCCATACCTCTTCTGTCTTCTTCCCAGGACCATACTCTCTCCCCATCCCAGTCATAAATCTCAGCAATGTTTGATTTAACTATGTTTTAATTAGACTCTTGATTGTAAGAAACTGAGACATACTTAGCTAACTCAAGTAAAGACTGTAGTAATAAGTATTCACACAAAGCCTAAGAAAGAGGGTTGTAGTCTCATGGAAGTCAAGAATAAATAAGGAGGGTTTCTATGCAAACTAAGCCCACGGGTGGTACTAAGGGAATGGAAGGACTTGGCTTTAGTGCTTTGTCACGAATGTGACTGGGCTGCTCTTTCCCCTGACTGCAACTAATCCTACTTCCCACATAGCCATGGGTTCTGCCTTCTGGTAACTTTGGCTCCCCTAGTCCTTGTGGCTATTCTGTCCCTCAGAGTACCCTTTTAGCTCGTCATCCACTTGTTGTCCTAATGTTTCTTAGTTCACCTTCCTGAGGAAGGATGTTATCTCTTCAAGTTAGATCACATTTCAACCTTCTGGGCAGCCTGTAAAATGCCCACCTGTGGCCTATTAATTACTGGCTCTCCTTGCGCAAAGGGTTATAAATAGAGTATCTTTAAAGAGACTTTGGTATTTACTTGACTGTTATCTGTGTAGTTGTTTATAAAATTTATGTTTTTTATCCAGTAACTATCAGGGCAATATAGAATGAGTTTGTAAGTATAGTATGAGCCTTAATCTGTTTTCGACTCCCAGGAACAAAACTTTGCCTCTAGAATCATGGAGTACCACATTGTGTTCTGACTAGCAACTTACATGCCTTTTGCTGTAGTGCTGGAGCAGGGTGTGCTTGCCCCTGGTCTTGCTTTACTTTCCTTCCCTTTCTGTAGGGTATTGAGTTGAGGATGGATATATAGCTCACTGGTATACAGAGAATTCTTACTTCAGGGGTCAGAAAAGTGCAAACGAGACTAGTCTTTCTCATACTTACCTTCCCACCCCATACCTTTACTTTATTAGGACTCTGCCCTTATCCACACGGAGAGCACACAGAAGGGAATGGCTGCTGTGGCTCCGACTGCCAAATACCAGGTGATGTAGGCTTTTCTGTTTTTGAAATACTTTATTAATCTCTAGGACGTAAACCCTTTCTTTCTCCTAGAGCTTTTTTGGTCAGACCCACCAGGTACACGAAGGATTCCACGGGGAGTGCTTCCTTCCCCTTTAACTTGTGGTGTCCATCACTGACCTTTTCATGCCTTGAACTTAGGCTCACTAGCCTGTCATCAGGCGCATAGCCCCTGTGGCATTTGCTCTGAGTGATTTTGCCTAAATGATTGTATGAGTCTAATTGGAAAGTTTGGGGAACAGTGGGCTGGTTTAGTTCTTTGTATATCTTTTCTTTGTATATCCATGTATGGACTGAAAGTAGGCCCCATGTACTCCAGGGGGTGTTGGGATAGGCTGGGGAATGTGAGCACGTCAGTGAGATCATAAGAGTTTTGAGGAGAGTTTGGTGGGCAGAGACATGTGCTTGCCCCATTTCCACTCAAAGGCAGAGGGTCTTGAATTCTGTGCTTTGGCTTAAAACTTCTGCAGACACACTAGAGACTCATCTGGGGTTTTAGGATGGAGGATAAAGATACAATCATATAGAATCACAGACCTTTAGAGAAACTGAGAGGGATCCTAAAGACTTACTTAATCTACATCATTGCTTTAAAGATTTGTTAAAAAAAAAGATAACGGGTGGAATTTGAATAAGGTTGTAGATTAGACAATAGTAAAATGTTAATACTGTTTTCTTAATTCTCATAACTGTGATTACAAGAGAAAACCCTTGTTTTTATAAAATATACACTGAAATATGAGTGAGTAAAAGGATATCACATCTGCAAGTTAGCTCTCAAGAAGTTCAGGAAGGATATAGGAAAAGAAAAGTATACTCAGAGAGACAGGAGGATAAACCAAATATGGAAAATGTTAACATTTGGGGAAGTTAGGTGAAGGGTCCATAGGAATTCTTTGTTTCTTTCTTACAAGTTTTCTGTAAGTCTGAAAATTAAGAGTCTTAGTACTCAGAGACTCAGCTGTGATTACAGTGGTGTGGGATTATGACCAATGGGGATTATGCTACTTTTTCCAAGTGCATCAAGGCTCTACTTTGTCAGATCATTTTCTTTCCCCTCCCCCTACAACCTCCAGGGTTCTCATCTTTATGACAGTTTTGTCTGGTCCATGTAAAGAGAAGGGTTATGAGTAAGGGAGAATGTAATTGTGTTTCCAGGAATCAGTGACATTCATGGATGTGGCTGTGATTTTCACAGACGAAGAATGGGGGCATCTGATCCCTATTCAGAGGGATCTCTACAAGCAGGTGATGCTGGAGAACTATGAGAGCATTGTCTCACTAGGTAAGAAGAGATTCCCATAAGTAGCTGGACTCTGTACGGTGTTAATATGGGGTTGAAGGGCTAATAAATTGATACCTCTTCTCCCACCTGAGTTCTGAACCACTGAGAGACAAGATGGGAGAGTAGGAGAATGTGGCTTAGGTGTCCAGCAAGAGTGGGCTTCCTAATCTTAAACCCCAGCATTTGACAGACTTGCTCCCATTGCTTGCTCAGCAGCCTGGCCCTGCAGCCTGGCCCTGCAGCACAAAGGGCCTGGAGAAGTAGAGCAGATGTGTACCTGCTGCAGGGAGCTGGCTCTCCAGAGAGGGTGAACAGAAGAAGGCGAGGTATTTATGCCCAGCTCTTTCCCCAACTCATCAGTCAAGTAACTTAGTCAGCTCCATCCAGAGGGCTAAGGGTGGGTGAGGGGCCATCTTTTTGAGGGAAAATATCTCCTCAGAAGCAGATAAGGAGGGGAGACATGTTTTACTTCAAAAGAATGTGGTGTGGGAGTTGGAATACAAGGTTGTGTCTTAGAGTAGGTCACTAGAAATGTGTTTGATTTTGAATATTTGTCTTAAGTGACATCTTTGATGTCCACAGAAGACACTTGGTAATTAGAGACTTTCGTGACAAAGGAAAAATTAAGAATGACTGTGACTGCTGGTGTCAGGTATTCATGAGAAGTAAAGCTGGGCTCCTGTAGGTAATGGAGTCTCTCAGGAGCTTCCAGAATAAGAGGCTGAGAGAGTATGCAGATTTGGAGCCAGGCTTACAATAAGCATCAGGTGGCAGTAAAAGAAATAATGTTGCAGATTTCATGCAAGGCAGGTCAAAAAAGCAAGTGTAACACCTCCTGGATTAGCCTAAACAGGCCAAATGTGGAGAACAGAATAGTGTTCATGGAGTATTAAGGGAGACTACTAAACCTTTGTCATAGGCTTTGGTGGGATGAAATACCAGGGAACATAGAATTCATCAGACCAGAGACAGGAAGTCCCAGGGAAGGGATGAATGTGGCCACTTTGTCAGCAGAAAATCCGCATACAACTGGATGATTCTGGGGCCCAGTAAGAATGTGCCTCTCTTTCCTAAGTCAGGGGACTAATGCAAGGGAAGTTTAGCCCTCAAGGCTATTTCTAGGAGGAGAATCTGTATAACCAAAATGGATAGGTTCACTTCTAGAAATTTGTCCCGAGGAAATAATAGGATTAGCAGCCCATGCTGTATATACATGTTCATATATTTTTTTAAATATTAAACCTAGTCTGAAATGTCTGCCAGTAGGAGATTAAATTAGATTATCCCATACAATATAGTATCAGGTAGTCATTAAAATGGTGAGATAGATCTGTGTTAATGGAAATAATTTTTAAATTCTTATGTGACAAAATCAAGTTTACAAATCAACATTATTCCATTATCAAGTTTTTAACAGTTATACCTATAGGTATCTTTCAGAACTGAGATGAATAGAAATAAAAATAATTAATACAAAGTACAAAAAATTATTTTTCTTTTGACTTACACATAACCTCTAATTTTCCTACAATGAACATGATCCACTTCTTTAAATAAAAACATAATACTAAAGGGTAAGCAACCAAAAAAATGCACTTTTATTACATGTTTTTACTCAAGACAATCTTTTTTTCATTCTTCCTTGAGCCAAGGACTGTTTCCACCCATCCTACCAGCACTAAAGCCAAGAGCGTCCCATTCGCCTCTGGAGGAAGAATAAATACAAGGGAATTTTATCAACTTCTTGACTGAGTGCTACTTGTTTCTTTTTAGAACCTCAGTGTTGACCTCTATCCAGATGTGCCTATATCTTCTGCATTACTTTGTAGACCATATTCTTAGAATGAATGGTCTGCTTTCCATATTTTCTCTGTGAAAGTCCTAGAGGCTGAGATTAAGCTTTGCAGTGGTTGCATATTTTCATCTCATACCTGGCTTGTTTCTTTCTCCATGAGCAGGACTTCCAGTTCCTCAGCCTGATGTGATTTTCCAGTTGAAGAGAGAGGATAAGCCTTGGATAGTTGATCTTCATGGATCTGATGACAGAGGGAACATTTCTCTAGGTAACTGCATATCAACAGGATAGGGCAGTTTATTTTGTGCTTATTTGGGGGGTTGTGGCAGGGAGTTTTGGTTATCACCTTTTTCCACATCTTCTGCTTTAGTGCTATTGTCTTACCCACTAGCTTTCATTTTTCCTATACCTAAAGGTATTATTCATCTTTATTCACCAAATGCTATACTGTCAGATCTGTTACGTTGACTATTCACTATTTGATTTTGATATTCCTATTTTTCACCATCCTCTCCACTTTGCATACTCTCCTAATTATCCTGACCATGTTTCCCATAGAAATTCTTTTTTTTTCTGAGATGTCCAACATCAAATCTATTCCCTGCCTTTTTCTTTATTCCCAAGTCTCAGTCTTTCCCTAAAAAATATGGCTGTTCAAGGGAGGAAACAATACAGTAACCATATTACTTGTCAGATTTATCATAGTTCCCCTTCTTTCTGCTGTAATATTTTCTATCCCTGTAAAGAAACGGCATTTGTGTCTATTCCAGACTGGGAGACTAAGCCCGAGATTCAAGCTGCATCAGAAAAAGAAAAATCAGAAGGAATATTGAGGGAAAAGCTTGGAAGAAAAGGTCCTCTGTGTCCTAAATTTGAAGTTCATGTGCTGGAAGGTGGGTTGGAAACAGAGAAGGAAAGCCCTGCAGTGGAGACCTGCAAGAAATCCTTTTCCCCGGAGGAAAGCTTGCGACAAGGGTCAACTCCTCCCAAGAAAATTCTCACTAAAGACAGAGACCAGGAATGCAGCAGTTGTGGGAAAACCTTTTTTGACCACTCATCCCTTATCCGCCATCAGAGGACTCACACAGGAAAGAAGCCATATGACTGTCATGAGTGTGGGAAAGCCTTTTTCAACCGTTCATCTCTAACTGTACATCAGCGAATCCACACTGGAGAGAAGCCCTTTAAATGCCGTGAGTGTGGTAAAGCCTTCAGTCACAGATGCAGTCTGAGCAGACATTTGATGTCTCATACTGGGGAGAGCCCCTACGAATGCAGTGCATGTGGAAAAGCCTTTTTTGACCGTTCATCCCTAACTGTACATCAGCGAATTCACACTGGAGAGAAGCCATTTAAATGCAGCGAGTGTGGGAAAGCTTTCTTTGACCGTTCATCCCTCACTCGACACCAGAGAATTCATACTGGAGAAAGTCCTTATGAATGTAGTCAGTGTGGGAAAGCCTTCAGCCAGAAAAGCATTCTTACTCGACACCAGCTAATTCACACTGGCAGGAAGCCTTATGAATGTAATGAGTGTGGGAAAGCCTTTTATGGTGTCTCATCACTGAATAGACATCAAAAAGCTCATGCTGGAGAGCCTCGCTACCAGTGCAGTGAGTGTGGGAAAGCATTCTTTGACCGCTCATCCCTTACACAGCATCAGAAGATTCACACTGGAGACAAACCCTATGAATGCAGTGAATGTGGGAAAGCCTTTAGTCAGAGAAGCCGGCTCACACGACATCAGAGGGTTCATACAGGAGAGAAACCCTTTGAATGCAGCGTTTGTGGGAAAGTGTTCAGTTCTAAATCATCAGTTATTCAACATCAACGACGCTATGCCAAACAGGGAATAGACTGAACTGGGTGAAAGCTTTAGTCAAAGGACCTCCATGAAAACTTAAAATAGGTCTTCCCCATTTTAAATCCATCAGTTGATCATTCTACCTATTCTGGCTTCTTCTCTCCTTTCCTGTCTCTGCTACCACAGTGTTTGAATAAAAACTCTCTTATGTTATAGAACTGAAGCAGAATGCTGGAAATTAAGGTGCAACTTTATAAAGAGTCAACAATTCGCAGAAGTTTCTCAGACTATAGGATAAATGTTAGGAGGTGATCCTTACATGCACCTATTTACTGAGGCCCCTGGTATCACTGCACTTTAAATAACTGGAGGCTACAGCAGGAGGGGAAAGGCAAAATTATATCAGCAGGACTATTGTTTCCCAAATAGTTCTTTTTATAGCTGCTAGTCCCTCTCTCAGAGCTTTTTTGGACACTGACCTTTTTTTTCTGCCCCAGCTTTTAGAGCTCTTTAATATGGTTACTACTAATAGCTAGCACTTACTGAACATTTGTTATAGGTAAGCACTCAGCTAAGAGTTTTGCAAGATTATTTGATCTTTTGAACAACCCTATTAAGTAGGTACTCTTACTACCTGCATTTTACAGGTAAGCAAACTAGTGTTTAGAGAGGTTAAATAAAAATTGCCCAAGGTGTCAGCTAGTAAAAGGTGAAGCCAGGTCTTGAAGACAGATCTACCTTCAAAATCTATTCTCTTTACCGTTACATTATAAAGTTTGTTTTGTAATTTATGTGCATGTATTATACTTAATTAGATTGTAAGCATTTGGAGGCATGGCCTGTGTCTTTGTAGCACACACAGTGCCTTGCAAATAATAGGTGCCCAATAAATATTTATCTGAATTAATGACTTTTCTTTTTCCCCAGTTCTATTTAAAACATCTCTTGTATTCACATCCTTTCTCTGAATTCTCAGTTTAGCCTATACCTTTATCATCAAAAGGACTCATTACTGCAGTAGTCACTTTCTGATTCTAGTTCTTCCCTCTTCATCATTGAAGAGGGATATGCTAAGCTATGATGCCCTAACAAACAAGAGACAAAGATTAATTTCTCATATAAAACCTGATGTGAGTCAGTCTATCTACTCCATCCTTATCATTTAGAACATGTTGCCTTCAAGGTCATCATGGAAGAAAAAGTTGGAGGATTTTGTGAGAGATTTTTAAGAGTCGTCACTTCTATCCACATCTCATAAGCCAGAACTCAGCACCAAGAGGTAAGGAAAGTACACCCTGACTGGTGTGGCTCAGTGGGTTAACAGTCAGCCTGTCAGCTGAGTCAGGTCACATGCCTAGGTTACAGACCAGGCATGTGGGGATGCATGAGAGGCAACACATCAGTGCTACCCTCTCTCTCTTTCTCCCTTCCCTACTCCCTAAAAATAAATATTTTTTTAAAAGGCTAGCAAAGGAAACAAGCATCTTGATATTTGGTTAACATTAACAGCTTCTGTTAGCTACATATTGCCTCTTTTAGGCCATTCTTTCCAAATGACCCTTCTGTCCATCTTTGTCTGAGGACTTAACATTGCGCCTCAGTTAGTGAGTGTCCTCAGATATAAAGGTTTAGCTTGATATAATCCCCCATTGCTGAACTTTTAAGTCTTAACTCTCCAAACTCTTCTATTCCCTGGCCCCAGCCCAATTTTTTTGAATCAAAAGTCAGGCATCAGACAACTTTGACTCTAGGCATCTGCTTAAAGTGAAGCTTCGACAGGACTTCTCCAACTTACTAATATCCCTATGGATTTTGGCCCCCCTTTCTTTGAGCAGATGAGTGGCAGGGAAGGCTTCATATATGGACATTTGAAGCAACTTGAAGAAAAACTACAGAATCTACTGGAATGGATAATATTGGGTATTATTTAATAAGATTAAGTAGAAAATAAAAGGGATTATTGATACCCTTTTGGCTGATGACTGTCTCTGCAGTCATGCAGAGTTCTACATGAGAGTTCTGAATCTTTTATTTACTGCCTTGTTAAATGTAAACGGAGGATCAAATATTTCCCTAAGACATTCTGGCAATGTCACAAAATGAAACCAGAAATCAGAAATTTAACATTTTTGAGTACAGAGGTAAATAAAACCAAGTGGGGACACAAATGTGATAGTTGTTTCCTTTTTAAATATATTCTGCAGAAGATTTTTTTTAAATGTGAAATATTGTTCCATCTCCTGCTAAAAGTTCTGAGGAAAGGGCCATTTGATCTTTTAACTGGTATCTCACAATAGAGCATGCAATAGTGGAGGCATTAAATTTTGCGGTTTTAGCTTCACCTAATGGCCAATCTTGGAATCAGAAACTGACCAAATTGGAAGTATGCCAGAAATCTTTGTTTTTTTTTAACAAATATACTTTTTAAAAGATTTTATTTTTAGAGAGAGGGGAAGGTAGGGAAAAAGAGAGGGAAAGAAACATCCATGTGCTAGAGAAATGTCAATCACTTGCCTCTTGCACACCCCCCACTGGGGATCTGACCTGCCTTTCAGGTATGTGCCTTGGCAGGGAATTGACCCAGCAACCTTTGTTTGCAGGACAACGTTCAACCCACTGAGCCACACCAGTCAGGGCAGACACATACTTTTATTTATTTTATTTATCTTCATCTGACAACATGCTTACTGATTCAGAGAAAAGGAAAGGGAGGGAAAGAAACATTGACCCTGGCTGGTGTAGCTCAGTGGATTGAGCACAAGCCTGCAAACCAAATGGTCATTGGTTTGATTCCCAGCCAGGGCAAATGTCTGGGTTGCAGGCCACATCCCTGGTGGGGGACACAGGAAAGGCAACCCCACATTGATGTTTCCTTCTCTTTCTCCCCTCTCTTTAAAAATAAATAAATCTTTAAAAAACAAAAAAAAACATTGATTAGTTGCCTCTTTTATGCACCCCAACAAGAATGGAACCCACAACCTAGGCATGAGCCCTGACCAGGAATCAAACTGACAACCTTTCAGTTTACAGGACAACACCAAACCACCTGAGCCACCCTGGCCAGGGTGAAATTAATTTTGAGGGAATGAAATAATCTCTGGTGCTTAAATAAGACCTAACTAAATTTTAAAAGAGAACTGAATACTTACCACACCAGTTAAGCAATCTACAAATCAACTCTTGCCAGGAAATTCTGCAATACTAGAGAACTTTGAAAAGAACAGAATATGGTAGATGGAGAAAAATCTGTGCACTGAATTAACAAGTACATGTCCAGTCATGAGAACTTGAGTCCAAAATATGGACTTTCTCTAACTAGAAACTGGTAGGGAAATAAACATCAAACTAATAATGATTTAGGACTGCAGATACCTTCATAGTTGGGTCATTAGCTCTTAGTCTGCTCTACATGGAGCTTTGTGTAGCTCTGATTTCGGTTGTACTTTTTCTCCAACTTCTAAAGACCCTTAAATTCCATGATTTTTGGCTCTTCTGACCTCCAGTGGGCAAACCTGTGACCTAGCTGCTCTTGTTTCTAGGGTGGTGGTTGTTTTTATCTTTATTTTAGTCTTATTAATGACCAAGACTCCTTAGCCTGGCCCTGCTATTCCTTTGATTTCCTGGACAAGCTGCCTTCCCTTTCTCTTCACTTACTTCTAGCTCCTGAAGGTGAAAATATACCAAAAAGTTCCAAGTCCAGTTGCAACAGTCAACTACAGCCCTGGCAGCTGTGGGGTGAGATTGCAGGAGGGGAGTGTCCAGGTTTAAGAAGTCAACCACAATGAACCAGGAGATGGGCTGTTTAATCTCAAAAAATGCCACCAAGTCAAAATTAAAGTTCAAAGTTCAAAGTCCAAGTCAAAGTTCATCCATGAGTACAAAAGCAGCATACATAAGAATGTAACTGAAATCTCAGATACCAAGTCCTATTAGATACGATGTCCTTTTTGCCCTCAACATCACATATCTATGAAACAAAATGCAGAGCCCTACCCACATCTACACTGTAGAGACAGATTGGCTTCCTCACATCTGCATCTCTGAGAGATCCTGCTTAGTAATAAAGCAGTTATTCTAGAGAAAGCAGAGAGAGGGTGAGTACCAAGATGAGAAGGATGGGATCCTCATGTCTAGGTGTTTTTTAAAAAAGCGCATTAATTTTTTGGTGCCATACTGGCACTTCAGTATGAAGGATGGAGTGTGTGTGTGTGTGTGTGTGTGTGTGTGTGTGTGGTTTCAAATTTTTTTATTTTAATGATTGTTCAAGTACAGTTTTCTCCCTTTTACTCCCAATCCAGTCCACCCACCCAACCCTCCCCTCTTTCCTCCCATTACCACCCTCCTCCTGGTTTTTGTCCATGTGTCCCTTAAATTTGTTCCTGTAAACCCTTCCCATTCTCCCCTGAAATTCCTTCTTCTCTCCCCTGTGGTCACTGTCAGCCTGTCCTCTATTTCAGTGTCTTTGGTTATATTTTGCTTGTTTCTTTGATTTGTTGTTTAGTTCCTGTTAAAGGTGAGATCATATGGTATTTGTCTTTCACTGCCTGGCTTGTTTCACTTAGCATAATGCTTTCCAAGCTCCATCCAAGCTGTTGCAAAGGGTAGGAGCTCCTTCTTTCTTTCTGCTGCGTAGAATTCCATTGTGTAAATGTACCATAGTTTTTTGATCCATTCATTTACTGATGGGCACTTAGGTTGCTTCCAGCACTTGGCTATTGTAAATTGTGCTGCTATGAACATTGGGGTGAATAGGTTCTTTTGTATTGGTGTTTTAGTGTCCTTAGGATAAATTCCCACCAGTGGAATTGCTGGATCAAAAGGCAGATCCATTTTTAGTTTTCTGAGGAAGTTCCATACTGCTTTCCATAGTGCTTGTACCAGTCTGCAGTCCCACCAACAGTGCACTAGGGACCCCTTTTCTCCACAACCTCTCCAACACTTGTTGTTTGTTGCTTTGTTTATGATGGCCATTTGGACTGGTGTGAAGTGGTATCTCATTGTGGTTTTAATTTGCATCTCTCTGATAGCTAGCGATATTGAACATCATTTCATGCATCTTTGGATTTTCTGTATGTCCTTGGAGAAGTGTCTGTTCAAGTCCTTTGCCCATTTTTTAATTGGATTCCTTGTGTTCTTAGAGTGTAGTCGTGTAAGTTCTTTATATATTTTGGAGATTAAACCCTTGTCTGAGGTATCATTGGCAAATATGTTTTCCCATACAGTTGGTTCTCTTTTTATTTTGATACTGTTTTCTTTAGCTGTGCAGAAGCTTTTTATTTTGATGAGGTCCCATTTGTTTATTCTTTCCTTTATGTCCCTGGCTCTAGGGGACATGTCAGTAAAAAAGTTTCTGCGTGAAATATCTGAGATTTTCCTACCTATGTTCTCCTCTAGGACTTCAATGGTGTCACGTTTTATATTTAAGTCTTTCATCCACCTTGAATTTATTTTTGTATAAAGTGTAAGTTGGTGCTCGAGTTTCATTTTTTTGCATGTGGCTGTCCAGTTCTCCCAACACCACTTGTTGAAGAGGCTATTTTTACTCCATTTTATGTTGCTGCCTCCTTTGTCAAATATTAATTGACCATAGAGACTTGGGTTTATTTCTGGGCTCTCTGTTCTGTTCCATTGGTCCATGTGCCTGTTTTTAATGCCAGTACCAGGCTGTTTTGATAACAGTGACCCTGTAGTATAGTTTAGTGTCAGGTATTGTGATCCCTCCTACTTTACTCTTCTTTCTCAAAATTGCAGCAGCTATTCGGGGTCATTTATGATTACATGTAAATTTTTGAAGTATTCTATGTCTGTGAAATAAGCCATTGGTACTTTAATAGGAATTGCATTGAATGTGTAAATTGCTTTGGGCAATTTAGTGTGGACAATAGTAGTATGGACATTTTGAT